TGAGGGCCCCATGGATGGTCCCCTAGTGTGAGGGCCCCATGGATGGTCCCCTAGTGTGAGGGCCCCATGGATGGTCCCCTAGTGTGAGGGCCCCACTGGCAGGGATCAGGGGCTGAAGGGATTTGGGGCCAGGAATGGATGATAGGCAGTGAGGAAGGCAGAAGTTTAAAATTTAGGAACCATGTGAATAGTGTAAGCCCCAGGAACTTGGGCATTCTGGAATGTCAGCTGAGCTGAGGGGCCAGGTCCTAATAATTCTACAAGCTAATAGTTTTGTTGCCATAGTTGCCATTAGAGATTTTCCCACACTGGGTCCCCAAGGTGCGTAATGTTTCTTGGTGAGCTCTGGGAGATGAGAGCCAAGATTAGGATAATGGAATGTGGAACAGGGAACCTTCCTGCAACGCCAAGTTGGGCTGCTTGACTGCACAGGCACGCGCACCTGGGCTCCGCAGCCGAATGATGGTTTCATGCTCACACTGGCCAGAAGTCGCTGCGTGGGCCTGCAGGCTGCCTGAGACAGGAGTAGGACCCGACTCTGCTCTCGGCTGCTTCCAGAGTGTCCAGCCATGAGTCACTTGACCTCCTTGGACCCGTCGCTGGAGCGTGATGCTTCTCAGGGCTGCCGTGTGAGGAAACACATGAGTGTTTGTGGAAAATCTGCTGTGGAAGCTGCTGGTGCTGGACAAATGTTAGAGGGTAATGATTATTTAAAACCAGGCAGGAATGTGCTCATTAAACGTGGCAATGAGAGACCCACCCTGCTTCCTCCTCACTTCCCAGCAAATTGCAACTGCTTGGGCCCAGTTCCTGGCTGGCGCATTGGCACAGGCTCTGCAGCCCCCATGCCTGCTGCTGGGGTCAGAGGGCACTTGGCTGAGGAGTTCATCCAAACACACTTGCAACCCGCTGCCTTCTGGGCACAGTGTGAGGCAGAGAACAGCAAGGTAGACAGCCTTCCCCTTGCCTTCATGGATTCAGAGCCTAGCTCAAGTAATAAACTGCTAGATCGTGGTTCTCAACCTTCCTAATGCCGCGACCCTTTAATACAGTTCCTGTGGGTCGCAACCCACAGGTTGAGAACCGCTGTGATAGATGATTATAAACCACTGCGACAAGTCCTTTAACAAAGATATGTCTAAAGCACTGCTGACGCAGATGAGTGAGGAATTACTGCTGACTGAGGGCCAGTCCAAGCTGGAGAAAATATTTGAACTGGGCTTTGCAGGTACATGGGAGTTCAGTCTGTGAGTTAGGTTGAGGGGCAGGGAGAGCACGTGGCAAGCCCAGAGAAAGGATAGCATTGGAGTATTTGGAGAATGGCACCAGGGTAGCTAATTCCTGCATTTTCATGGGCCAGGCTCCAAGCTGGGAGCTGGGATGTGACTTGGAGCTGTCCCTGATAGTCTGAGGGGCAGCAGAGTCAGTTCATCAGAGAGAGTGGACAGTGTCCTTGAACTGAAGTGCTTGGAGAGTTGAGACAGTATCCCAGGCGGGTTATCCACAGACATAGCCATGTTTAGAAAGCCAGAGTCTACCTGGGCTATTGCTGAGAGAATGAGCCAGGTGCCGAGCACATCAGAAACAAGGCTGCAGAGGTCAGCTAATCTGTGGGGTCTGGACTGCAGCCTTGGGCTGTCCGCGAACCCTCATGGGGAGCTAGTGGCCCTCAAACTGGGTTGCCTCACCCACCCCCCCAGGCAGAGCCACCCCACCCAAGTGCCCAGGTGAGTGAGAGGCAGGGCTAAGGACAAGGAAGAGAATGGCAGCAGAGAGGCTAGGCCTGTTGGCCACACAGCAGCCAGGCCTGGGGCTATGGCTGAGGCTAGGGCAGAGCCATCGGGGCTTAGGGGAGGAGCTGGCATAACAAGGTTCACGTTTTCACGGGCCTGTCTTCAAGCAGAGATTTGGAGGACAGATTCAAATAGGGGAAGCTGAGAAGTCTGGAGAATTAGCAGGTGGCACCAGAGAGAATGGGCTAGAGAGGGTGCAGGCCTGGACCCCAGGGGTGAGGCAGGAGGGAATGGGTTAGAAGAAAGGCTAAGTAAGTACTCAGGAAACTATAGACATTGAAAGGAAATGAAAGAGGACACCAATGAAAACACATCCTATTTTATGAGTTGGAAGATTCTGTTGTTAAGAAGTCAGTACTATCCAAATTGATCTGCAGATTCAGTGTAATCTCTACCAAAGTCCCAATCACATTTTTTACAAAAATAGAAAATTGAGTCTATCCTAAAATTCACATGGATTCTCAAGGGACCCCAAATGAAAAAAACAAATTTTCAAAAAGGAAGGAAAAAGTTGGAATTCTCGTATTTCCTGATTTCAAACTTACTATAAAGCTATAGTAATCAAAACAGTGTGGTACTGGCCTAAAACACACACACACAGACTAATGGAACAGAATGGCAAGCCCGAAATAAACCCTCAGAGATATAGTCAAATGACTCTTGGTAAGGAGTGTCAAGGCCACTCAATGGGAAAAGGACAATATTTTCAACAAATAGTGCTGGGGAGACTGGATTTCCACGTGCAGAAGGGGATGAATTAGACCCTTACCTTATACCACACACCTACATTAACTCAAAAGAGATCAAAGATCTAAATGTAAGAGCAAAAACTATGAAATATAAAACTCTTAGAAGAATCTTAGGGGAAAAGCTTCATGACATTGAATTTGGCAGTTAATTTCTTGGGTACAACACCAAAAGCACAGACAACAAAAATAGATAAATTGGACTACATTGAGTCAAAGACTTCTGTGCATCAAAGGACACAGTCAACAGAATGAAAAGGCTACCCACAGAATGGGAGAAAATATTTGTAAATCATATATCTGATGAGGGGTTAATATCCAGAATATATGAAGAATTCTTACAAATTAACCACGAATAACCAGGTTAGAATATGTGCCAAGATCTTGAGTAGAGACTGTTCCACAGAAGATATGCAAATGGCCAGTGAGCACCTGAGAAAATGCTCAACATCACAAGTTATCAGGGAAATGCAGATCAGAACCGCAGTGAGAGACCAACTCACACTAGGATAGCTATTCTAAAAATAACACAAGAAATTAACAAGCATTAGTGAGGACTAAGGAGAAATTAAAATCCTGTGTGCCGTGGATAGCCACTGTGGAAAACTGTACAGGGGCCCTCAGAAAATTAGCAGTAGAATTACCTGATGTTCAGTAGTTCCACTTCTGGGTATATACTCTAAGGAATTGGAAGCAGGGTCTTGAAGAGGTATTTGTACACCTATTGTATTAATTATTGGGGGCTGTGGTAACAAAGTCCCATCAACTGGGTGGCTCAAACAACAGAAATTTGTTTTCCTATAATTCTGCACTTGATCTTAGCCAAAAGCTGAGAAGCAGTTTTCCTACAGTTCTGGAGGGTAGAAGTCTAAGATCAGGGTATCGGCAGGGTTGTTTTTTTCTGAGGCCCCTTTTCCTTGGCTAGTAGTTGCCTGACCCGCCTTCTCCGTCTTTGTATGGTCTTCCTTCTGTGTGTCCTGATCGCACACACTTTTTCTCTCTCTTTCTTTTTTTCTTAGACAGAGTTTTGCCCTGTCACCCAGGCTAGAGTGCCATGGCAACAGCCTAGGTTACTGCAGTCTCAATCTCCTGGGTTTACACGATCTTCTTGTCTCAGCCTCCCAGGTAGCTGGGACTACAGGTACCCACCACAATGCCTGGCTAATTGTCCTATTTTTAGTAGAGAAGGAGATCTCACTCTTGCTCAGGCTGGTTTTAAGCTTCTAATCGCAGTGATCCTCCTACCTCAGCTTCCCAGAGTCCTACAGGGTTACAGACGTGAACCACCTAATCTCACAAAAGGACACCAGCCCTATAAATTAGGGCCTATCCTAGTGATTTCACTGTAACTTAATTACCTCTTTGAAGACTCTTTCTCCAAATACAGTCGCCTTTTGAGGTCCTGGGTGCTAGGACTTCAACACATGAATATTTTGATAGTGAAGGGGGACAGAATTCAACCTGGAACACCCGTATCTGCAGCATGGTTCACAGTAGCCAAAATGTAGATTCAACCCAGTGTCTACTAGCTGAGGAGTAGATAAACAAAATGTGGTATAGTCATAAAATGGACTATTATTCAGGATTAGAAAGGAAGGCAATTCTTTCATACTGCACGGATGAGCCTGGACAACAGTATCCCCAGTGAAGTAAGCCAGTCCCCAAAGGGGAACACCCAAGTCCATGTGCCCAAGGTCATGCCACATTCCCAGAGACAGAATGTAGAATGGCGGCATCAGGGGCTGAGGAGAGGGGGTGTCGGGGATCAGCATGGGGACAGAGTTCCAGATTGGGGAGATGAGAAAGTTCTGGAAATGGATGGCGTGATGCAGCACAGCAGCCTGAGTACATTCAGTGCCACTGAACTTAAAATGGGTGCAAAGGCAAAGTTTATGTTAGGTGTATTTTTACCACAACTAAGAAGTTAAAAAATATAAGTTAACAGGAAAGCTTAAGGATGCAGGTTCTATTGGATTTGGGCGTCTGCTTGCTGTGGAGGTGTTTGCCCCGATGTTTCAGACATGATGAGTTTAGGGTGAGCTACTCCTCCCACCCCCCATCTGGTTCAGGCTCCCATCCCGTGGTTTGGCCCAGCTGTGGTGGCTACTGGAAATTTGGCTTCTCTCTCTGGAAGGGAATGTGGAGGGTGGTCAGGGTCTTGGGGGTAGTGGTGGTGCAAATACTCCTACCTTGCTCCTTAGTGGTTGATTTGGAGGACGAAGACAAAGGAAGGGGGGTGACACTCACTGAGGGCCACGTGCAGCCCCCAGACCTGAGGTCGCCCCACTGACCACGCACTTGCTTTCTGTCCTAGGACCTGAGCGCCTTTGCCATGCCGCTGCTGGATGGGGACCTGGAGAGCTCGGAAAAGCTGTCCTCCCGTAAGGTAAGGCCTCCTTTCCTGAAACCTCTCACAGCTCCCTGGAGGTGCTACCTAGGCAGGCAGAGCCTGAACACACTTCCAGCTGTGCAGTCACCTGGGCTCTCACCTGAGTGCCCACCTCCACACATGCCTGTGGCCAACCCACCCTGATGCTCACCTTACACGGCCGTGCCCCTCACACCTGCTGTGCTGTCCAGCTCGAGGGCCCCCTAGGCTTCACACCTTCTGTTCTCCTCACTGTGGGCTGACTATGGCCACCCAGGTCCCCCAAAGTGGGCAGATGCAGGGTAGAATTGATAGTAACAAGGCCTGGTGTGGGCAGCCAAGGGGTGCTGAGAGTTGGGCTGCTCAGATCACCATGGCTCTCGGCCATCTCCTAACAGATAGCCGTGTGTCCTCCCATCTGCCCCCCCAGCTCTGGCCGCTCCCCTTTCCCCTCGTCCTGCAACCCCTCCGCACCCCCCACAGTCCTGCACACCTTTGTTTCCTTCCCACTCATTCTTCCTCTCTTTAGCTCATGGCTCCACCCCATCCCCCAGCATGTCCACAAGTCTGTTGGCTGAGAAGGATGCTGGGAGGGGGGCGGAGGCCACAGCATCAGGTGAGGGGTTGGGGTGGGGCCATAGCAGGGGAGGGAGAGGTCCCAGGGAGGCAGGGGTGGGCCAAGAGGTGCTCCCTGGCACCCTGCTACCCACAGCCCTGCGGCAGGCCGTGCGTGAGGGGCCTACAGCAGCGGTGCCATGTGCAGGATCTGGGAGTGGTTCTGGGTGCTGGCCAGCCTGGGAGCAGGGCAGCAGTTCCAATACTGGAAAACGCTAATCTGTGCTCTGAGCACTCTGGATTACATACACTGAGTCAGCAAGTTGGCCTGGGACTATGGGGCTCAGGGGGCATCACGCCCTGCTGCTCCCTGGCCTGAGCAAGCAGCCTTGTTAGAGCTGCTATGCCTAGCCAGGAAAGATTGCCAGGGCCTGGGGCTTTGGGACCAGCAGAGCAGTGGAGTGGCAGCAAGGCGCCCTGGTCTGGGCCCGTGCAAGGCTGTTGGTGGCAGCCCTGCAGGCCTGAGCCACCCTCCTGTGTGATTGGCATAGCCCTTTCCTTCTCATGGAAACCAAGGAAGGCCCTGAGACTGTAGGGCAGGGGTCCTCAAACTTTTTAAACAGGGGGCCAATTCACTGTCCCTCAGACCATTGGAGGGCCAGACTGCGGGCCCCAGGATGAGTTGGCTGCTAAGCAGGACAGGCAGCGGCGGCTAAAACACCTGGCAGCCCGGATAAATGTCCTAGATGGTCCACATGTGGCCCGCGGGCCATAGTTTGAGGACGCCTGCTGTAGGGCTTCACCCTGGTCACCCTCTGGGGGCTCAAGGGGGTTTCAGAGTAAAGTTGTTGCCTTGAATAAATCATATCTGAACAGAAAAGGACATAGGTGTTCTTGCCATCTGTGAATGTTTGCTCAGAACTCGGCTTGACAGTGGTAGTGACATCAGAGAAGGTGGGGACATGAGCATTGCTGACCCAACTGGTCAGGCTGGGGCAAGGAGACCTAACTGGCGAGAAGGAACCCCTCCAGCCAGGTGGTGGCTGGCCAGGTAGTGGAGCAGCCTCAGGTGCTGAAGGTGAGAGAGCAGCTGAGGACACACTTGCCCGGGAGGCGCTTGCTCTCTTCAGGGTGTAGTCTTCCTCCTTGAGTTGTCCACTGCCAAGTTCTGTCCTTGGTTTTAGCTCTAGACCCAGCTGCATGCAGTGGAGAGCGGGTCGGAGGGTACTGACATCTGGCCCTTTCTGAGGATCTTATGAAGGGAGGTGAAAGAGCAATGGGAGAGAACAGAAAGGCAAGAAAAGGCACTCCAGAGTCCCTGCTGTCCCCAAGAAGGTGAGAGGACAGACGTCCCCCAGGAGACCTGGAACTTCTGAGGCACTATCTCATGGAATCCTCACGTACATAACTGGCACAGGGTAGCTAGCACAGGGCTCACCTGTGGGGGTGGGATGCTGTGTGGGCTCAGGCCACTAGACGCACTCTCCACACTGCACTCTCCATACCCTGATGCCTCCTGCGCCTGCATCCTAGGGGCATTTTACCAGGCAGGATGCAGACAGACACTGTGGACTGCCCCGCTTCCCTGCAGGGTACCATCCCCACTCTGTCCGCTTTGTGGGACCCCCCCAGGTCTCAGCTGCATCTGTCTCCTCCCTACACTAAACCCCAGGTAAGCTGGATGCCCCTGGACTCTGGGACTGGCTTCTGCATGCCTGGGCCGAGAGTTGCCCTCATACTGCCTGCCCTAGACCCTCCACCTCCTAATTCCTCTATGCCATTTCCTCCCAGTGCTGGAGGTGTCTGATGTCCACTCTGTCAGTCCCTTGCTGATCCTGGGGCTGCCCCTCCCACACCACCCAGCTTCTTTTTCCCTCAAAGGAAAGGGACAGCGTGTCTAAGGCCAGAGCTGCAGGCTCGGCCTAGGCCTCAGCTTCCTCTCTGGCAGCTGCATGACAAATGGCCCTGTCTGCAAAGCTCTGCTCAGCAGACGGCCTGAGTGCCCTCTGCCCATTAGCTCCCGGAGCCAGGCATGCACTTGGGAGTCTCATCCACACCCCAGGGTCACCGAGTCACATTTACCAAAGCACTATCCAGTGTGGCTCACCTGGTAGTGAGGGCTGCAGCCCTTCCCCTAGCGGCTTCCCCTGGTGGCCACTGGGTCTGCACTGCTGACGCCGGCAGGAAGCTACGTGGCATTTCCCTCCACCTGCTGTCTCATGCTGGGGAGTGTGGCCAGGCCCTTGAGGCTCCTGTGGGAGGGGCTGAGCAGGGCTGTTTTCAGGGGACAAGAGTGGCGATTCTGCTTTCTGGGGCTCCCTCTTTGGGTGTGATCGTGGTGCCTGGCTCCATCGGCCTGGGATTCTGCTCAATGTATTCCCAGTCAGGTGAATCCTGGGGTCCCCCTGGCCTCTGTGACTGGTTTTTATGGCATGAAGTTCAGCCTCCCCTACTCCCCTGTGGTGGCCCCAGTGGGCAGCCTTCTGTCTCTGGGCACTGGGACCTCCCCAGCCCTGTACATTGGACTGTCCAGATCCTAGCCAGCTTTCAGAGTCCTCTCTGAGTCTGGACCTCCGTGAGGGGTAGTTATGTACCTCTGGACACTTTTGTGGGCATCATGCTCTTAGTGTTGTGGGCTTGCTGGCTGCTCCCCACACTCTCCTGGGGCCCCCAGGCTGCCTTGAACACCTTTGTCTCCTCCACAAAACTGGACATCAGCATGTGCCCAGGCAGAGGGTACAGAGAAGCAGGTCTGTAGAGCTCACCTTTTCAGAGCTCTCCCCCTCCCACATGGCCTCCCCCTCCCACATGGCCCCCCCTCCCACATGGCCTCTCCCCCTCCCACATGGTCTATTCCCCC